TACTATAAATCTACAAGCATATTTATTTTATTATTATGATAATATGTTTGCGTACATTTATCGTATTCGGCTCAAAAGACAAATTGGTCAAGCATAACTTATTTTGTTCCTCTTTCTTTCTCTTTCGTTTCTTCTAAATGACCTTGATCAAAATATGTATAAATAATATAATAATTGGACAAAAAAAAAAATCTACATATTTTTTTTCTATTATACATTTCAACGGTAAAATATGAAGAAAACATTTGATAGTAATTGGAATAAATCAGAACAACATTTAACAGTAAGTATTTTTAAATATGACTTTGATGAAATTAAAGAAAATTTTTGTTTTTCGTTAAATTAAATTAATATTTTCAAGATTAATTTTTTTCTAGCAGAAATTTAGTGATCCTTTATTTGGTCATTCAATTGAATTTGATTATAAACGTGATATAAAATGTCTATCGAAAGTATTACAAAATTATAATATAAATCATACATTAGATTTAGATTTTATTCTTCGTTTTTTATCATCATATAAATATGAAAAACGTATGATACTTGTTCATGGTCTTGAATATGAATATGATTATAAAATTATTAAAATGATATGTGAACAACCTGAATCTTCTATACGTTTATGTACATTAGCTATGGTAATTGATCCTATTGAATTATATGTACGTGATTTTTATGATTTACTTATATCAAAACAAACTGATGAAAATAATTGTGATATATTAAGAAAATTATTAGAAATTTTATTAGCATTAAATAATTATGATATACAAAAATTTAAAGAAATATATGAAAATTTATTTAAAAATTCTCTTGAAAATGATATTGAACTTATTCATGATAAAAAAAGTATTATGTCAAAATTACTTATTCAATTACTTGAAGGAAAACGTTGTGAAGTAAATGCACATTCAATATCAGTTGCAAAAACAATTGCTGGACAATTATATGAAGTTCGTCAAGGTACATCTGATATTGATTCTGATACATATACACAATTATTTACACGTGATTCATTTTCACAATTAGCAGCTATATTTGATATATATGAAGATAAATATGGACAATCAATACAAGAAGCAATAGAACATCAATTTAAAAATGAAATTGAAATTAAATGTTTTCAAGATATGGTTGAATATATACGATTACCAAATAATTATTATTCTAAAATACTTCGACAAGCATTAGATGAAATTCCAATTGATTATAAAACATTAATAAGAATTATTATTGGTCATCAAAGTAAAGATTTAGATGAAATTAAATTAGAATATTCAAAAATTTATGATGAAACACTTGATAAAACAATAGAAGATTGTATTGATATTCCAGGAATAAAACATGCATTTATTATGATAATTACAAGTGGAAAAAAATTATTATCGTCTCATTGTGAACGTGCTATTTTTGGTCGTAGAAATCATAGTAGTCCAACTAATTCAAGACTAAGTCCAACTAATTCAAGATTAAGTCCAACTAATTCAAGATTAAGTCCGACGAATTCAAGATTAAGTCCAACGAATTCAAGATTAAGTCCAACTAATTCAAGACTAAGTCCAATAATAATGGGTGGTATGGAAATAAAACATCGTTCACAAGAAGCCATTGATAAACTTGCTCATATATTAAAAATAAAACGTCCACATTAATCAGATTATTATATTTCACTTTTTCCTCTTCCATAATTAAAAAGAAAAAAACAACTCATTTGTTGATAAATCAATGCTCACATTTATGAATATAAGATTCTTCAATTCGATATATAAATTAGTTAGAATAAAGCAGTGAAATATATTTTTTTTATTTATGAATAACAAAAAAAAAAGAAAAGAAAAAAAGGTACACTCCGATATTTCTTATTGAAAAAAAAATTTTTGTTTGTTGTTTTTTTTTTTTTATACAACTCTACGAACTTCAAAGAATCGTTTCAAATAATATACTTGACCAAGTGCCATAGCTAATAAAATAAAAGCTTCAAAACATGACCACATAACAACACGTGAATTCGTATTTTCATTAACTAGAAAAAAATATATATATATATATAATTTTATCAACTAAACAAAAAAAAGGATGACTTACTAGAACGATGAATACGTTCTCTTACTTCCATAAATTCTTGTTCATGTTTAATATTACTTAATGATGCAGATAATTCAGCAACGAGTTCTTCAAGTTTATTATGATGAACTAAATATATAAGATCAATAATTATCTTACGAAGAAGAAATCATCCAAAGTGATTTACTACTTTTCAGTTTATATCAAGCGGATTTCCGAATTAGAATAACTTCGAAGGGATTCAAATCTATCAATATTTTCTATAGAGTTACTATAGTTTTGTTGGATGTTTATTAGAGTTCTGCGGGACATTCAACATTATACCATAGGACTCTAATGTTTATAAATAGGATTTTTTGTATTTTGTCTATAAGTAAATCTCATTATTCTAAAAGTTCTCGATTATTCTGATCGTTTCTGAATATTGAATATCTCAAGATGCTAGAAGTCGTTTTTACATGATTAAAAAAATATGAGATAACAAATCGTAAATCCTTTTAAATAGTTTTCTTGTTAGTATAAGAAAAAAACAAAAAATTATTTATTTACGTGTAACATTTTCTGCTGTTTTATCAGATGCCATATCAAGTTTAGGTGAATCTCCAGCATCAATTTCAAACATAATCATTTTTGGTGTCATTGTTGACATTCTATTACTAAAACATAATGTATAAGTACCATCCATATGAGCAGAAAATGTTGTTTTTCCACTTGATTCACGATCACCACGATAAATTTCTTTATGATCAGGACCAGTTATCTATATGATAAGAAGATAAATTTAATAATTCATAATAAAGAAATTTAATTTTACTTTAACATCTATATCGAGAAAACCACCTTCGATTACTTCATATGTAAGTAATAATTTCGTTCCGGATGTTAATTTTTCAAAAAAACATTCTTCTGAATGAGCATCAACTAATACATAATAACTAAATACGCTTTTTATTGATAGCAGTACAATAAATGAACAAGTTAGCAATGATGTCCAAGTCATTTTAAATAAAAATAATTGACAAATATTTTCATTAGAATGTATAATCATGATTGGGCCACATTGTCAATTTCGATTGACCAATCATAAATTATATGTTCACATAAAACATAATATCAAATTATGCGAAAATCTAACTTAAATTTTAATAAAATTCAAAAAAAACAATGCTCTTCAGATAAAAATCTTAGCTGATATATTTTTTTGCTTCACTATCATTCGTTTGTTAAATTAACTAATCCATTCAAAATAGTCTTGCTGTAAGCGTATTCGTGCGTGTGCGAACCAATGACTTGGACTTTTTTTTTATTTTGATCGTTGGATATTTTTTTGTTGTCTGTCTATTTTTATTTGTTATATCGGCTATTTGATGCATAAGATTTATTTATATTTCTACTTTTCCAACAAAATACTTTGACATATGTAATAGTATTCGCTTTCGAAAATATAATATTCATGAGAGAGTTACAGTATTTATTTCCATTACTGTTTTTTTCATATAGTTCGTACGCTTTTATATCAATCATGATTATGAAATTTGATGCTTTTTCAGATATCGAAAAATTGAGATTGATTTAAAATTGAAAACAAAAAATGAAGCAATGACAAATGTGATAAAAGATTTTTTTGTGACAACATGGAAATGAAATTAACATTCACCTAGAAAACAAAAATATAATATAAATATGAAATTTTTTAAAGATCTGCAAATGATGTCTTTAACTAAAATTGATAAATATCGTATTATGTAAATTGCCTATGTCATTTAATATATCAAGACATACTTGATTTCGAAAAACACTATTGTATGTTGCGGTTTGTATAATGACGCACGATTGTTTTGTCTATTCAATTTTCTTGATATCATTTATGTTGATTACACTACTAGCATCAAAAATAGAAAAATCTTTCTAATCATTTCTGACACATTTAGTCAGACTATTATGCTCATTGCTTTTCTCTCGAACTAAGATAAGTCGTGAGAAATAGACAATACAATTACTAAAAATTACGGTTATATTTACTGATTTTTTGGTCCATCGGGTAAGCGTAAAAGCAAGTATTCAAACAATGTCATCAACATTTTATCACAATGGGTGTAATCATAACGGATGATAAAGTAACAAATCAAAACTTGGTCGAATTGAATTCATTTTTTCATATGAATATAAGTCGTTCAGACGGTAACGTTCAAGACTGAGTAGCTATGTTGTTCGATGCGTATCTACAGGCTACTGTGTGGAAACCTTAGTACCACCAGCCACGAAATGACCTTGAACAAATTACTAACAGCTATTTGTCTCGAATTACCCATTCGATAGAATGCTGACTATGTTGTGACATACATCTACTCTTGTAATTAGTTAGTGCGTATGGGGAGCGCAAGCCATTGAGCACAAGAACTCTTTATTACACCAGCTTTCTATTCAGAGCTATAGCTAGTCATAGTTGTTGAGAAGATATCAGACTATTGAATCTACTGCTAGACAACACCTTGTAGAGCAAAGTAGCTGAAAGGCAGAGGTATTCTTCCTTCTTTTTTTCTTGTATATCATGGAAGTTGATTCATCATTCAATAGACTTTCATTACAATATTGAATAGTTTCATTATGAAAAATATCGTAGTTATCATTCAATTATCTCATTTATTCTATATCATGATCAAGACTTTTCTCGGATAAACTTTAATGAAATGAAGAAAATAAAAGATAGATTATTATCGTTTAAGAAATTTTTAACGTTTTGGTCGAAGATGTATTTGTGTAACTAATTTGCAAGTGTAATAGTTGATAATGAAGCGTGAAATAAAAAACAATATTGAAAAAAAAAACGCGATGTTTTGCACTCTTTCGCACTTTCCTCAAAACAAAATTCTGGAGAGAAAAATCGAAGCTTTCTTTCTGACACTCCGATCGATTGAGCTGAAACTTTTTTATGACAACTTCGATCAAATCAAGGTTTAGCACTTTTTAAAAAAATATTATATCAATGAACTTTGGCAGATTTTAACAAACTTCCATCAATTGAAAAATATCCAAAACTGAAGCTTTTCTTTTCAGGTTGCTCAGTTTTCAAAGAAAAAAATAACTACATCTCAATTCAATCCCAATTGTCACGAGAAAAAATCTCAGGAAAAATCGATGAATTTTGGAGTAATTGTGAAGGGAGAGGAAAAAAGTTCAGATTATATTTTGCTCTTGCGCCTCCTATATCTCATAGAAGGAAACATCCGAGAATTTATAGCCGAGAACAACTTTTCGTCTAGCCATTCTTGATAAATCTGGAAAAAGGACGAGAGGCATACCTTTAAAAGGTTATCTGTAGCTTTCCAGGAGCTATCTCAGACTGATGGGTGTAATCCTTAGATGATACTGGCAACTTTTCAAGAGCTCTCTGAAGATAACATTTATCCAGTGTCGATTTGATTACGTATTATGCAATAGTGAGAAACATAGAATATCGTTTGCATCACTGTCTATAGAAGACGGTTTTTCTTTTTTTTTCTTTCTGACGCTTCGCTCACGACAAAAACACTCCTACCTAACAACAAATTTTTTTTTTTTGCATTCTTCTCCGAGTGTGTCTTTTACGGCATTTATGTAGTATATTATTCTTCTTTTTTTTTATCGTTCTTTCGTCATTTTTTCTTTATTATCTACAATAATCACATGTTTAATGATTAAAATGTTTTTCAAACTTTTGCAATTTGCCATTAAATAGATGAATATATGAATGAGAACCTCGTAGTAATATTTATCTTTTTAAAATTTGCTTTTGATGTATAAGTAATCGAATGAATAATAATGACGAGACAGTGACGAAATCACATTACAATCGTATGTCACCTGTAATTTTCCTACTGTGTTCGAATGATGTGCTTTTTTTTAAAGCTTTATTTGAATTCGTTCGAATTCTTCGGTGTTTGTTTTTTTGCTTTTAGAAATCATTGACATAATGGACTCGCAGGATAATAATGACACTAGTAATGAAGTACTTGACAACGCTTTACTTTTGCAGGAATCGACCACTGTAGCTGAATTTGAAAGTAAGACCATCAATATTAGTTCCTTTTAATTGACATTATCCTCGATATTCTTTTTAAGATAACGGTATCGTTGGAGTTTTGACCGTTGGCAATGAATCAGTACAATTCTCTTCCACAAGTGGTAATTTATTTCTCTCAAATAGTTTGTCATTTTCAGAATACTCAACAACTCTATAAAATTTTAGGACCGGCTGTTTCTCCACCAACCACTACTACCACTGCAGCATCATCATCTCGAACTTCCGTTGTTCTACAAAATTCTATGAAAATCGCTTTCTCCTATCGTCAAGAAACAAATGATCGAGTTAAAGTAATCAGTGAATTGGTTCATAATCAAATTGCTACTCCCGACTCTCCTCAACCAGTATTCTATGCACCTAACTTTCAAGCTGCTTTGGCTCTTATTGATGGAGGAAAAGTTTTGCGACGTATCTATGAAGGAGCGTCATTAGTCGTCGTTTTTCTATCACCAACATATCATAACTCTCGCTTTTGCTATCAAGAATGGCGAGCAATAAAAAATCGTTTCATGATTGGTGGTGATGATCACGAATATGAAAGACTTCTTCTTATCAAATTGGGTGATTTTGATGCGACTAAACTTGGCCTTTACGATGATGATTTCTATATTGATGCAACAAAACTCAACGACGAGGAAGTAGCTGGAATCATTATGGAACGATGGCATTTAGTGAAGAAAATCTTTCAAACATAATTCTAAAAGAAATACTTACGCTATCACAAAATCAACTAATCAAGTATTTCTTTTTTTACTTTTGTTCGGCTTCAAAGACATTCTTCAAAAAAAAAAAGCGCAGAATTTTGTTATTGTTCACTCATTTTCTAAATAGAGATTGCGTAAAAATGGCTACTCCACGTAAGGAGAATAACCGGCGCCGATCTCCATGTTTTCTGCATGCGCGCTATTCCTTTTTCATTATTTTTACACATACGAAATTTTTCTACAATGTATTACTTTAGCCTCGACTTCGAATTGGGTGTGAATGTGTATATAATTGCTTGTGCCGAAAGTTAAAAGACTCGAAAACACGCGCCACTTGCGATCAATATAATGAATGCCTTCAAGCACAATTATTCAGATATGCCTCATTCTCTGTTTCTTATTTTAAATCTACATTACGTCATCTCAGTTTACTAAATAAACTCATCTATATCATACTGTTGATTAAAATTGCGTCTGGTCATATCTATATAGTATGAAGCATCGTTATTTCCTTGCTTGTTATTCAGTCTCGTCAAACATTGTTTTTTTTTTGTTTACTTGTAACACAGGTGAATCCGTCTCGAAAACGAAGAAAACATAGGAGACGTAGAAAAGCGTTGTGTCAAGTTCTATTTTTAGAATACTTGAAATTTGTATTTGGATGATGGTAGGATAGTGCATAGTTGAATCATCATCAGATTCAGAGAAAAATCCAAACATGTCATTCTTGTTTTGCGTCAGAACCATAAGGTAACATCCAACAAGCAAAAAATTCCGCGAAACATTATTTATTCTTCACCTATACTAGTCATTTCTTCTTCTATACAAGCATAATGTGACCGTCTTGTTTTTCTCGTTCTTCTACTCTTGTTCTCTCCGTCTCGTTACCAATCATAATTGTTTTTTTGTTTTTATTAAATACGAGCATGCGAAATTTACTTGAGGAAGAGCATGAATAATGAGATATTATTCATTTCAGATTGTTTAATATTTTTCAACGTGTCAGACATGGATGAACAAAATGAACCTTTTCTACAATCAAATATTAGTACACGTCCAAATCGATCTATTTCTTTCGTAGAACGTTTGCGACGATTTCTACAACAGCTACTAATCTTCATTGTACATTATCTATTTCAAGTAAGATCTAATAATAAAATATTTTGTACAATAAAATTTTATTGTTAAAATTTAGATTTATGAATTTTTAAGTAAAAATAATTCTCGTGATACTTCATCATCGTATCGAACATCTATTATCGAAACATCTACAATAGCATATAGTACGATACCGATAGATATTATTGATGGTAAATAATTTTTGAATAATAAATTCTGAGCTTGTACAAAGTTAATTTCATCTTATAGAAACCGAAGAAACAACTGGTCAGGAGATTGGTGAAATTAGTGTTGAAGCATTTGAAAATTATCTTCAATCAGATGAAATAATAAATCAGTCAACTTTGAAACGTAAATATACAAAAATCTGTTGCAATAATATCAATTATTATCTTTGTTGTTAAGGTGCTGGTATTGCTGGAATTCTTACTCTCGAAGATGAATCAGTCTTATCTCTTTCATCAACCAATCGTAATTTTTTCTTATAATATAGAACAATAACTAATTTATTTATTTTAGAATTGGCTTCTCCTTCACCAGAGCCAGTTTTTTCAACATCGTACTCATCTAGTTTTTCACAAAATCCTGTGAATGTTGCTCTATCGTACCATGATGAAATAACTACTCGAGTACAAATTATCAGTGAACTTCTTCAGCAACGTATTACAACATCGAATATTTCGAATCTGATCTTCGATGTTCCGACCGTCCACGCAAATATGAGTGTACTCGATCGTCGAAAAACTTCAAAAGATGTTTACAAACGAGCTGCTCTAGTAGTAGTCTTTCTTTCACCTACCTATCATAATTGTAACTTGTGCTATAACGATTGGCGAGCGATCACAAATCGATTTATGGTCGGTTGCAAAGATCAACAATGTGAAAAACTTCTTCTCGTGAAATTAGGCGAATATAATGCAGATTCACTTGGCCTTTTCGCTGATGATTACCATCTAGACGCTATGGACAGAAGTGATGAAGACGTGGCTAATATTATCGTTGATCGATGGCGCATGATCGAGAACTTGTTAATATAGTGACAGACAAAACGAAATTCGTCTCCTTCTGTGAGCTCGCATCCACTTTCACCTATTATGAACTCAACATTTCCAAAAATCGATCATTCGATAGTCTAAAAAGAGGACATTAACAAAACCAGATAATGATCCTTCGACATTGACTTCAAGAAGAATCAATAGACAGAACGTGAAGAGAAAATCTTAAACAGTGAACTTATTATACGGACATGAAAACCTGCGAGTATCGTACTTCGCATTCATATACATGAACATAATCTATACAGAATGTTGGCACAAAGTTGAGAATGTATCTTGTGTTGATGAGTGAGTGTGAATGTTGCTCGCTTCTTTGCCTGCACATGCTCTCACACTCACGCTCATCCTCGTTTTTATTTAATTGTATTTGAAACAAATAATAGCAATAATGAAAGCCCTGTTTTTGAATTTGTAAATTCCATTTCGTTGTCCAATGTCTTAATATTTCTATTTACATTTGTTGAAAACAAATGAAATAAATAGCATTTTTTGCATCGAAATTCGGATTGAAATGATTCACTCCGTGATTGAATCGAACATGTCCAACACTTCATATCGTCCGATCGTTAAAATTTGAAAACTCGTGGTGCAGTTCGTTGATCTGCTTGATTGTATATCACTGTAAATTCATCTACAGTTCATGTTTGACCACAAACACGACGATAGCGACTAGATTTTGATAGCCATTGAAATCTCGTCTCTCTAGAAACCTAAACAGATAGCTTCGACATGAACGTCTGTTGAATGAAGAATCTTTGAAAATTATTCTTGAAGGAACAATGAGTAATGCGTGGACGAGTGTGAGTGTGGGACTGGCAGGTTGAATAAGAGAGTGGACGTGCGTGTGGGTCATCACCTCGTCCACAACAACACTCGACCCCTACGCATAACCTTCAAGATAATAGCTGAATTTTATAAGACATAACTCAGTTATATGAGTATCAGGTTGCTTCCTCATCTGTTACAATCACTCTTACCCTTCTCAAATTGTCTTTCTTATTTTGTTTTCTCTTTTTATCCGTCTTGTCCTTTTCCTTTTGCCTTAGTTTCACTTTTTTTTCATAGATCGTTCCTTCTGACAATTCATCTTGATTGCGTAGAAGTTGCTTCATTTTCAATCGCTATCTTTTTATTTACTACTAAAGTGAAAACGAACGGGTCCGATCGAACGAGCATTTGTCAATCATGCCATTTAGCTTAACTATGTGATTATCATTACAATGGGCAATAGGTGTATACAACGGAGCGACCAGCGTTCCATGTCGCTGAATCTCATGTTGCATCATTCTATTTCTTCTAATCGTTCGCTTTTTCTACGGCCACAACGCTTTTGCTTTGCTGAGCTCAAATGGAATGCCCTGATGTTTTCGGAGGAATATTGGGAACGTATCGAATTGATGTCAGTGCCCATAAGGACTGATTATACTGTGATCCCTGTAGAAACCCCATGCATCGCACAGACAGGAGAATCAATCACCTTGTACGGAGTAGATACAAGGCAAAGCACCCACAAATATCCGTCTCATGTGAGTACTAAAGATTTTCTTTCGATCGTCGATAAAGTGGCAAATGAAATTGTCTCGGTTGGCAAAGAAAGAAAATGCTAGAATGAAGCACAAACAATGAGTACTAGTCTACTTCGAATGAAAAAGTATGGTGAACAAACGGTACTCGAACATTGTGTTAGACTTTACACGCAAACATCATTTTTATTTCGAGCATTCCACCGACACTTAGATGACTACTACGCTTCGAATACTGTAAATCTATACCATTACAAGAAATTGCTTAGTTTATACGTCGAAGGTTATGGTAAATCGTACACAGGAACCGATTATAGAGGGACTATATTGAATGATGATAAACTTAAATTATATGCGACAAGAGATTACGACGCTACGTAGTGCTCAGATGCCTACTTAGCAACAAGCAAATGCCGACAGGTGGCTGAAATCTTCGGAAATACTTTAATGATAATTGATATAGAGGAAGTGTCGGACAGCAATGAAAAAGCGATCGATATATCTGAGTTATCGATCATTCTAGATGAAGAAGAAGTAATACTTACACCAGGATACATACTTTTCAAAGTCAAACAGTCTGAATTCGATTCAAACATCAATAAACATATCGTATACTTAACCTCAACACTTTCCTCTGTCTATATGTCTATTCTCAAAGATATGAATGTGTAGGAAAGAGCTTTCCGTAAAAACAGCTTGGTAATTATATTGAACAACCCGATAAAGATAATGATACCACAGACAGCGAACTCTAATCCATTGACAGTTGAAGTGATTTGTTAATTATCACTTTCTTGTTTGGTCCATGGAACCTACAGCTTGTTCACACAAACATCCGACAGAATTATTTATCTTTGACACGTTTGATTAATGTGATTCAAATAAAATATCCTTATAAAGTGAATGATTTCAAAAACATGTTTCAAATAGAATGATAAACAGAATCGTCGCATTTTCTACTCTAAAGATTCCTATTATATTTCTAAAAAAAGATGCAAGTCCCTTAGATATGGATATGAGGTCTTGGTGTGTGCGTGGATATGGGTTTAGATGTCGATGTGGGTTTGACTGTGCAGCATGAGTATGGATAAGCGAGGGTGAGGACAAGACCCACATCCACATTCATAATTAAACTATGGTAAGAAAAAACAACTCGTAATCGACGATTATTTTATAATCCTATAATGCTTATTAATAAATATAAATCGAAACATTTCTTTTCGTCAGAGCTTTTTTCTGCATAATTTTCTTTTATTCGAAGATATTATTTTTTGGTCGCTGGATATTTTTTCCTTGTCTATCCAATTTGACATATGAGATTTGCTAATATTTCTACTTTTTTTGCAACAGTATAGTTTGACATATGTATTAGTATTCGCTTTCAAAAATATAATTCTCAGGATAGTTACAATTTCTATTTGCATTACTGACTGTCAGATTTATTTCGTATTTCTAAATTGAAATGCAAATGATTTATCAAACTAATAAACTTCGACAAGTAGAAAATCAAATGGTTAATAATATTGATGATTTCATTTTAAAAAAAATGATGTGATAATAAGAATAAAACATGATAATCGCAAATCATCATATTTTATTTTTGTTTTCTATAATTTACTTCTATAATGACACAACTTGCCGAGAATCTAATACATATATCAACTACGTTTTCTTTAGTTAGTTTTACGCATGATCATTTTATTTTCGTATTCAATACGATTTCTTTTAGAAACCTTACATCGATCTCAGTCAACAACTTGACGATAAATGTCTTATTGGCTTTGCTCAACTTTCATTAAACATTTCAAAAAAAAAGACGGTGTTGTTTGTGAATGTATTTGTTTGTTAACCTATGCTTATTTTCTTTTTTGTATTCGAATGAAATATACATATATATGTACATGTTTCAATGTGGATATAAGTTTCTCTTTATCTGACATCTCTTCCTTTCTTATTTAACCTACTATATCTTTTTTCCCCTCATATATTAATCAAACAAAACTAATTCTATCTAGTAAATAATTTAACTCGAAGCTTCTCTATCCATGCATGATACTTCATTATTCATATTCTTTTTTTTCTGTGTTATTAACCTGTTATTTTTTTTTTGTTCTTCATTGTACACTTCTTTTTTGTCGCTCTTATAGCAACAGCAGTCACGAATAAGGTTTTTTTTTTCTTGAAAACGGCACCAACACGAAAGACGCAAATAGAATAAAAAAAAAGAACAAGATGCACTTGACATTTTCTCTTTTTTAAACTTGAAATGTTTGCATAGATGGACTTGTTATTGTTGATGATGATACATCGAATATTTCTGTTGTTGTTGGATTCTCAATAGATTCCGTTGATTGAATATTAATTGCAGTCGAAGGATTTGTTGTTGGTACATTTTCATTAATATGAGACTCATATGAAGGTGGAGGTGATGTTGTTACAAAAAGAGTTCGTGGTTGTTCAGTTGTTGTATAAGGAGGTGGTGGAGTACGAAAACCGTCTACATAATGTGAACGTTGATGACGAATATGTCTACGTTGTCTTTCCAGCTGAACTGGTACTGTTGGCAGTGGTGCTGTTGATGATAAATTTGAACCCATACTTGATTCATCTGAATCATAATTTATCTTATATTTAACACGACAAATAATAAATACAATAAAGAATATACATGGAATACCAATTATAAGTACAAGACAAATACTTAATAATGGCCAAAACCATGGTGATTGTGTAGGAGAAGTCTCACTGTCTATGTTATATATAAGAATAAGTATTTTTTTTTAATTCTATTTCTAACGAAAATATTAGTTAGATATCCTACCGATTTGTGCGTTTGTTAATATTGAGAATATGAAAAATATAATAATCAATAAGAAATGAACCATTGCAATGAAGTCGTTCGAATGCCTTACACATAATACAAGCTTTTTTTACTTTACTTCTAAGAAGCCATAAATATTTGCAATTCATGATTAGTGAAGCTTCTCGATGAAAATTTTTATTCGGATTGTTTACAAAGGACATTGAATAATACAAAAATAGAATTCAGATTTTTCTTCCGACATTTCGAAGGGGAGGAGGCTGAATTTTCAGACATGATTGATTTATCCAATAAATTTCCAATTTAACACGATCCATTTGAGCTGAATTTTTCACTAATGAATAGTTCTAATAGAAGATGTTCTTGGCAAAAACTTTAGCTCAATATATTAAAGTTTCACCTTATTTATATGATCTTCAAGAGAGTGAATATAATTAAGCAGATTTTTGTTAAAGTACGTAACAGATAAAGTACGTCAACATCATATATAATGCTTGAATAATTTTTACTATTCTGTGCTTCGAATGATGTCCGTATTTTTCTTGCACACGTTGTATTTTACATCGTTCTTCCGATAAAAATTAGAATAAAGTAATTAAAATTTCTTCAATTGTTTTCTTTTCATTATTCAATTTTTATGATTACTTCTCAAGAATATACAATTCTTATAAAAAAAAAGAAGAACTCATTACAATTTATCTACGTTAGATTAATGAAACATAATGAAAGTAAATAACAAAAAATAGATATGTCGACTGTCTCAAGCACCTGCAGACATCTGTGCAATATACGTCAATTATATGTTCTATGTTGAAAAATCAAATATAAATATGTGATTCTTATTTTGAATATGAATAGATTCTTGATGATTATACTGACACAAATAAAAAGGCAGTTTTTTAAAATTCGACAAACTTAAAAAAAAAATTTTCAATAACATGTAAGTAGGGGGTCCAAGTCTTCTCTAATAAGCTAATTACAGAAAGATTACTTTATTTTATCTATTTTAGAACAAATTTCTTCACCATTGTTTTATTTAATTCTCCGCAAATACAAGAAAAAAGTAGTTTAATAAGACTTTATTGATATATAGTCTTTGATTGTATATCAACAAAGTCCGTTACAGCTTATGACATTCTCATCGTAATATCTGCTATTGTCTGTGAAGGCGGGGGTCCCCTCTAAAGAGTGCCCTAACGAAAATTAGTTTATATGTAAACAAAGAGTGATCCCTTAGTCAACTATATGTATATAAGTTTTGAGTATTTAAGACGATATTTTAAATGGCATATTATCCAATGACATTATCTCTTTTAATAATAGTGATATCAACAGAAGAAATGTGATAATTAAAATTTCGAAATTGACCAGTATTTTTAAGAAATTTTAATGAACTAAGAATTCGTCATATGTTAACATATCACAATTATATAAAGCGATGCGTAGTATCTAGGATATGGATGTGACTTCTAGCTATGTCCACACCACACTTTAAATACTCGAAGCTCATATAGATATAGTTGGGTATGGATTACCCTTTGTTTACATATAAACTAATTTTTGTTGAGACGCACCCTTTATACTTCAACACTTCTCTCAGATCATGTTTCACAAACAAATTGAGGTCTAATAGAGTCCTTAGAATACATATACTGCCTCGAACGAGGAAACGAGTTTTTGTTTTTATGTTTATTTTTTTCATTTTTGAGGTTATTAAAAATCCTAGGCAGTGTTTTCATGATTGCTTTGATATTGAGCATCAAATACAAAATCAATCTTCCTCTTTCAAAAGAGAATGCATCTACCTATCAAATAAAAGGCATTCAAATTAACCAGAACGAACTATATCAAAAAAAAATTTCTTCATAATTTGATAATTTTATACAAAAATCATAGTTTCGAGAAAAATGCACAAATAAGTTTTTTTTTGTATATTTATCCGAAGAGTTTTCTGACATCACCATACAATGTGATTATAATGCATGCTAAATAAAAATTCAAGTCTCTTCGAGTGACCATGATAACTCCATTTGCGTTCATAATTTTTCTGTAGATTTATGGATTAGCCTTTTGTTCGAGATCTCTAGAAAAATCATCATAAATTCTGAATGGTGGTTGTATGAATTTAAAACATAGATATTTTTGGAGTTATCTCAATATGGCTATTTCAAAAAGTATCTTTTTTCTTTTAAAAATCGATTTTTTGAAGACAAGAAGAGTTTTAAATAAATTACAACAAAAGTAGTTTAATCATGAAAAACAAAAAACATTCATGTTTTTGAAGTGTTAACACAAAGTGATATGTTGTAATTTGTTGTATTGATTTACATCGAATATTATTAGTATACTGTCAGATGTACTTCTCACCAGGGACATCTGTCTGAAATCTTCAAGCAATGAATAAATTCAAAATATTTTGGCATGATATAATCGAGAACTGAAGAAAAAAAAACATAATTATTATATAGTTATCAGGAGCAGTGATATATTCTTGTCATTCTGCCAAGCATCATTTCAAAGAATAGAACAAGTAAAATGTTTTCAGTCTAAAACACATATGTTACAGAGACTTTCATATAGCACAAAAGGTCTCATTCGATTACCTAAACCATCGCATATGACACGTTATTTCAAAGCTATAAATCAAGTGCATAATTGAAGCAGAATCTGCTAATGAAGGAACCACCTGAAGTGATTCACCGCTTTTGAGATCATATTTTGGGTATATAGAAGGGACCTCAAGACTATAATAATCCTGAAAGAGTTCGGACCCATAGGCCTTCTCTACAAAGTTATAGCAATTTTACTTGAATTTTAGCCTATGACGCGGTATGTACGAACAAGTTGACTGACGATATTTCGTCCTGAAATTTTGTCTACAGATAGGTCTACGTGTAATTAGAATGCCTTGAAAATTTCAGCTGAAAAGAATATTTCCTTCGCGAGATATTGAATGTCGATAAAACATGAGATTCTCGCATCTTTTATGGAATCTGAGTGATTTTTGAAAATTCAATATCTCGCGAAGAAAACATTCTTTTCAGCTGAAATTGTCAGGACATTCTAATTATAAGTAGAATTATCTGTGGACAAAATTTCAGGTCGAAATATCGTCAGCCAATTCGTTTGTACATACCGTGCCATAGACTAAAATTCAAATAAAATTGCTATAACTTTGTAGAGGAGGTCTATGAATGCGAACCCTTTAAGGGTTATTCTAATCTAGAGGTTCTCTCGTGAGTTACGCTCCTGAGACCATATGACTGATGTTGATGTATGATCTTTTAGTACAATATATAAAAGACTCAAATGCACAACACAATGGAATCACTTCAGATTTTCTCTTTCACAAGATTGATTGAAATTCTGAGAGGAAAAATATCTGTTCTTTAGACCATAGAGACACACTATGTACTACAATAACCAAGAGGTCAATTCGATCTTCCGAAGGATGCTGTCTCTTTATAAACTAGATAAAATATTGAATCATTTAACTAATAAAACAGCATCTTCTTTATTAGAATCTTCTGAAAGAAGAATTAAAACAAAAACAAGAATTTCTTACCAAAATTAGACAAAAACAATATTATCAAATATAAAATCATCATTTTCGATATGATAAATAACATGAGAAGTGTTTCATAGTCATTTAAACAAACATACCACAGTAATATTTTATTAATTTCTTTTTTTTTGGATCAAAATAATACTAACAAAATCTAAAATATGAAATATCTATTTTCAAAATCTTCAATCGCGCGTATTTTTTTTTTTGTTCTCTAATAATGTATTCTAAAAGTAGAAACATCTAACTAAAACTAACTTATTTAATAATTCTTGCTTGTCTTCATTTTTCTTTTTCTCACTTTTTATCATGCAAGCATCATCGAATAATCATTATCAAAAATCTTTACCCTTTACTGATATTCAAATTCATACGAATAAATCCTCTGAAGATGATACAGGTTATGATAGTCTACCAAATCAATATGAAAAACAACAAAGAATAAATAGTATTGCTGGTCCTTCATCATCATCTTCATTATCGCATAATCAATATGCCTTTGTAATGAATTATGTAGAAAATATTCCATCACCTACAGATATATCAACTACAAATGAAACAAGTGATATATATCCATCAGTGCTTAAACTTATTGCAGAGTTTCCTAAAAAATCTCAACCAACGACCACAACAACACCAATACCAAATCGTAAAACACATCGCACACGTGTTCAACCAATACCAGATTCTACAAGTGATAGTGCAGATTCATTTGCTCAACCGAATCATGTTGTACTTCTTTCGTCATATCGACAACAAATATCACAAGTACCAACAATATCATCAATTAATATTCCATCATTTGGTGGAAGTTTAGAATATATACATGATAATCGTTATGATTCAACAACGACAGTTGATCATGTTAAAAATGATGTTATTGCTATTGAATTAATGGAACAACAACAACAACAACAACTAAATCATACATTAGATACTCATCTTTATAATAAACAACAATTATCATGGATAAATCGTTTAGGTGAATCAATACGTTTATTACCAGCTACTGTTCTAGCTATTGTTTTTATTGGATTAATTGGTGGACTTTTTGTTTCAGCTATATTTGTTATTATTATAGCATAAATTTAGAATATTATATTTATTATAAGAGAATATTATTTTTCTTTTACATGATTGATAGAGATACAACAATGAAATAAAACAAAAGTTCTACATATTTTTCTTTTCTTTTTTGTCATTGACGACGTACAGCTTCAAGTAGACGTAAGATTTCAATAAATAAACGTGTTATATCAAGATATATTTGTATTGCTGCATCAATATATTCTTCTGGTGAAGTTTTACGCATTATTTGTTGTGTATCGTAAACTAAATAGAAACTAAATATAAGTGCACCACTTAATGCTAGGCCCAATTCCATCACTGAATTACGAGCGACAATCTATCAGCATATAAAAATAAAAAAGATTCTTTCAAAAAAAAAACATATCTTTCTTTACTTGAATTAAGCCTCCAGCAATTAAAACACATAAAAATGCGTATAAACCTGCACCTATAGCTGAAAAATCGCGTTTTGTTTGAAATGTATATAATGTTAAACCTCCAACAATAATAGCAGTTAAAATAATTGCTTGTATAACTAGGATTTTATCATAAAATGAAACCAATGTACCAATTGTCAATGATTCAAATAATGTAAAAAGTGCAAGCAACGCAAAATTTGTTGGATATTCTAAACGTTTAACATATACTGCAAGTAAACTAACCATTGTTGCCAAAAATAATACAAAAAGAAAACTAGGATTATTTTGAAAAAATAATTTGACATTTTCCAATAACATTATTACTGTTGATACAAAAGCAACGAAACAAAGTTGAGTTGCAACAATACCATAAACTTTGCGTAAAAATTCTATGAAGCCATTTTAATAAAAAAATAATAATAATAATGAACGAAAAATGTTTAACTTACGCATGCGTATGTAAACATGACATGATGCCACATTACTACCATACATAAAATCATTTTCAATTGAGCTATGTCTTAAATCAGTCATTGCTTAATAAGCAAGATCTACAACAGTAAATGTGAACGCTTTTTTTTTATTAACAGATGGTAAAAAACGGTCTCAGTTTGTTCTTCGCTGTTAGCTTTTACTTCCATTAGAATGATGAATAGTTTCACAAATGAGCTTGATAAAAATATGACTGTCATTTTTGTCACCTTTTCTTTTCCTGTCAGTTTTTTCCTACTTAGGTGACATTATTCATGGTTTTTTTATATTGTAACCTTCGTAACAGCAAATCCTAGACAAATTGAAATAGATGGCAGTAGTTTCTTCTGAACTATATAAAAAATCAATAAACTCTCGATACTTTCAAAGCAATATGAAAAAAGTTGATGCCAGCCTTAGTGAAAGTATTCAGCTTAAAATAACTCAACGTGTATTCTACTATCAGTATGTCACAAGTATTTTTCAATACTTGGATCCTTTTAGATGTCTGATAGATTTTTGAGTCGTTGAAAATGAGACGCTTTTGAATATTCAATTAGCTAATCAGTGGCAACTTTTATTGATAAAAGGACCACCGGGTACGAGTCAAATAGTTCATCAGACACTTTGCAATTTCTTTCGATTGGCCAAGTATTGAGACGATTTTCAGCAGATTACCCGACTAAGCATCTGTAGCGTGCTCGTACTATCGGACTTTTTCGACTGTACTACTAGAATCACGTCAATAAATGGAGATACCGGACTCAATAGTTGCATTAGGAAAAGAAATGCCCATATAAGTATATAGAAGTTAAATTTTAACGATTTATTAAGAAGTTAACTAAGTTATAAATCAGTGACTATCAGATTCAATTCGAAGTTTGAACTTTCGCATTGCATTACATACATTCCATTATATTTAGTGTGATAAATAAAAAAATGTAGAATTATACGTGCTATATTGAAGCGATGAAATTAAACAAACGGGAAGTCAAGTAGAAAATAATAGTCACCAATTAATAAAGTGAAATATCGAAATGGCATAGACAAATAAAATGAACTGAATTTCGCATTTATAAAGAGAAGAAGAACGTTTTTCTACTATACAAATGATAAAATTTGTAACACCTTAGTATCATCTTAACTACCACTAGTTATTTAATATTATGAAAGAACGACCGCCATGGATCTTAAGATTTGTGTCATCGATGAGTCTTATTCATAATTCTCTCGTTGGCCATGAACATGCATACAAAAACGAACCATAATATAGCTTATTCGTTGCTAAGGATAGTGTTTTGTCTTTTATCTATCGTTCTTCCTTCCTCAATCGTCTTGCTAATACAAGAATTATTTTTTTTATCATGTTCTCAATTGCTCTACTCTTCCGATCTTGTTAACTCTTGAATGTTTTCTTCTTTGCACTTCCTTCTTCTTACACAAAGGTACGATTAATACTGAAGAGATGAATAAACTACGTTTGTGCGTACTTCTCTCACGCTGATAATAATCTTGAGTCAAAGAATAAAATGAGATGTTTTAAGATAGACAATGGTTTAGCTTATCATAGATGTTTTTTATGTGTTAAACCCTTCTTGCATGTTCACAGTTATTTGAGTAATAATGTCATGAATGAATGATATGAGCTGACTCAAAAACCATCGTTGTATATCAACAAGATTTTATTTGTAGAAAGAACAAACAATATTTATAAGAAGTTCGTCAAACATAGTGAAAAATGTATGTATGTAAAATCAAACATTTCATAGATTAATTGATTTCATTAAAAGAACACCGTTGAGTAACTTGTAGTCTTTGCCAATTGCGATTCCCTTCCAGAAATAGTGGATGATTAGAGTCAAGAGCAATACCTCGATTAGATATTATCTGATCACTATCTTCCAGTAACTCTGCAAGAGTTCTAGTACCGTCTATGTTTAGAAGAGTTCTATCTTTTGTTGTACAATTTTAACGAGGCGAAGTGTTTGAAATTAACCTATTTGCTGTAATATTGACAAGTCCTGCAAACAAAACACAATTATATAATAACTTAGAATCAGTGTTAAATGCGTCATACCTTTAGTAATGTATGCATTTTTGTATTATATTTGAGATGCATATTATTGAGCGTGAGAATTGGGCTAAGCTATTATTCGTAAAATTCACTGCACCTGATTATTAGGCGTATCATGGTATAAGGTTTTTATTACCGACCAGAAAATTTTATTGTATTGATACTTGCAATGGTCGAATAGAAATGAAACTTAAAACTGAATATACGAACGGAATACATGCAATAAGAATTTAGACGACAATTGTTTGAAATCTATTTAAAAAAAATTCTTTATGCACAAAAATAGCATGAAGAAATTAAAATTATATTAACTTACTAATTTATGTTTATTTGTTGCTTGACGTAAACGAATCAAAAATTTTAAAACATTATTTTGTTGAATGAGGATGTAGGTTTCCAATGCTTTCGAACACGATAATGTGCATTCAGTACCTGTTGGATACATGATAAAATGATTGTCATATTAACAATAATGATAAAAAAAATCTAATAGAACTTGATTTATATATATATATATATATATATAAAGAAAATGAGTAATTTGTTTATTTAATTTTCTTCATTAAGATCGTTTTTCGATTAATTATATAAAGTTATAAATCAATAAGGTTTCCAGGTTAATCGATGCATCTTCAATATCTTGCAAGGATGGTACTGTTTTCCTATTTATGTTTCAAACAATTGTAATCATGAAACTGAAAGTATATCGGTTGATGTGAAAACTTTATTGATGTATAATCTTATATAATTAATAGAAAAACTAGCTTTATCAAGAAAATTAAATAAATAAATAATTTTCATTTTCCATATATAGAGGGTGAGCCATAAATAACACTATGATAAGAATTTTGAATGCTTCCACCTTGTTTGACTCAAACGCACTGATTATTTTGGTTATAGAGACTGATTTCGATTTTTTTTCATACGAATAATGGTTATTAAGACTACTTTGAACCATCATCATTAACGAAATTAAAAAAAACTGCCATTTTGCGAGATTCGAAAAAAATGCATACAAAATGGTTCGAAAATAGATCTTGTCTCTAATATTAAAAGATAATAAGAAAACAAAAAGCAAAAATATGCTTTATTAAATGCATTAGCCTAATGCACATAAATCAAAGTTTAGAACAAGTTAATTTTAATATTCAAACTGATCACTATTAGCATCAATGTATTGTTGAAGTATTTCAGTACTTACTCACAAACTTTCATGCAAAAGTCACCATCTAGTGCATCAATTACTGTAACAATTGACTTTTTGAGATAAGTTAAGCTTCGAGGTTTGTTTTTGTACATTATCTCTTTTACGTATCCCCATTAGAAGAAGTCTGTTGGTGTTTGATCAGACGGTCTTGCATCGAAAAATCTTTTTTTGTTGACATAGAAGAAGCTTCATCTTTTGTGGCTTGAACGATAATCAATTCTGATCTACCGAGTGGAAAATGGTAAGCAAAGATACAGTCTGTTCATGGTTATTCATTGATTCGTTTATTGTTGATCGAAATAGGAAGTTTGCTCTGTATTTCCTTGCATCATAGTCTTCGAATTTGGATCAGATATTCAAGTTTGTACACCTATTTCACGATTCACACTCCTTCATTTTAACTAAGTTGATGTTGAGCCACATTTTATACTTAATTTAAAAATGAATAGATGCCGTTTTAGATCCTATGTAATAGAGACTATCAGTTAGAGAAAACACAGACATATTTATAAACGTAGAGAGATAGAGAACAGAGAGAAATAACTGAGATAAATATTTGAACTTTTATTCTCTATTTACAAATGCGTGGCATGTGAGAGAAAGAGAGAACTATATATACGATATTACTGAAAGGAAAGAAGAAAACAAGTCAGGGGCATATAATGAAAGCGATAGTCAACTACACGAATTGTACAATGAATGAAGACGTAGTACAGTAAATTTGTTAAGCTAATTTTTTAACATCATGAATGATTACATTTTTTTTTATTTCAGTTAATGATAATAGTTCAATGCAATCTTTATCAGTAGCATTGTTTGTATGAAAAGGAAACTTTCACTAAATGAAGATTAGTCGAAGTAACTATGAAACTCTCTATGTTTCGAAACATCTTTAAGATCAAATGGATGGTATCAATGAAGCCACATGTATTGTTGGTGTTTGTTCTTTGTAAGCCGATAACAAAGAATAGTTGTTACATTGAGTCTCTTGGTGAAGATAAGCCATACACATTGTTACAATTTTATATGTGAAAACGGTAAATTTACTAGGAGTGACAATATCTCACGACAGTATCCTTATCTCTTTTATTAACATGATATCGATAATGACTAATTCGGTATATGACAGAGACTTGCAGAGCTATCCCATGCTATCTCACGGTACTCTATGTTCTTTCTACCGCTCATGCGCTGTGCAAATCTCTTTCTTTTGTGCTCAGTGAACATGTTTCGAAAGCGCAAAACCTTTGTTTCAATGTTCTTCCAACACACCTCGAAACATGAAACGACACAATTTACACTTCATGGAAAAAATGACAATATTACTGTTAATAAGTTCATCAGTGTTTCATATATGTCGGTTTCTTATCTTGTGATATTGATGAAAACGGTAACAAGTACGTAATAATAAAAAAAGAAAATGTTCTCTTGATCGCTCTCTTTCTCTTTCATGATTCTAGGCTTGCTTGAACATATCATCTTCAATGTCTTCTGATTTCATATTTATTTTTGATTGTAGAAGAGCTTTTGATATCGTATTGGATGCGATCAAAAAATTTCTCTCTCTACCACTATTGCTCGACGTAATATTAGAAGAACACTGCTGGCTAAGTGTCATGGCCAAATCAAAACATTAACAGCATACCATGTAACTTTAGTTTCATCTGGTTTTTCTATGCTTAAAAATATTTTTCTTTTTCTAGTTACGATTAATACTAAATATATCAATATACCAGCTAATATATTAGAAGAAATATACGAATGCATTATCAGAAAAGGCCATCGAGGAACATGTAAACATCTGGCTGCACAATACTTGGCATTATTAGACTACGGTCAGACTAAACTTAATGAGTCGTATGTGTAACGTCTACAGTAGTAACAGTAGTCAATGCAAAAATGTTTAAATCCAGTCTTTCTCTTAGAAAACAAATTTTACTTTTCTTAAAGGCAATACAACTGAAGATGAAAAATCAAAATACGTGGAGTTTCTTCAAACAGATGCTCATATAGCGAAAGGAACCATAAAGCTACATGAATTGCTCCTGATATATAAACAACAATCAACTTGTGTTACTTCGATTTTTTTGTTTTAATAAACTCTCACTAGCTTGAATACAATTTCTCGCACGTGTCGTTACCCAACCTTAATTACCAGCATAGTACTGTTGAGCATATCAATGTAGTCGGTAGAAATCTATTTAAGTCATACTTCAGTGATACTTCAGTCATAAAAACGAAGGGAGGTATAATGACAAACTTACAGTTAGCGAAAGTCATATTAGCGAAATTGCGACTATTCTTACTTTTCATGACATGAATCCGACCATTTTATAACTGTTTCAAGCTGTTTAATATATTATCTCTGACGATCAGAATGATTCTCCTGAGTTCATGCGAGAACCTACATCCATATTTTTATCGAAGTCCAAATCATTTTATTTTGGCTTTTTCCGTTTTTAAATTTAGTAAATGATTTACAGAAAAAATTGTCAGAATGAATGGTAATCATATCAAAATCGGATTGATGGTTCTGAATGTGATCGAAGAGCTGTAGCATTTTACTTCTTATAGCCTTCATGGTGTGAAGGTGGATTCACCCGATTAATTTTTTCACTTTGAGTACTCTACTACGGATCTTTTGAAAATAATCACTTTCTTTAATCGCTAGTTTTTTGTTGATGCATGAGAGCCTTAGGAAATTGGACGACTCGGTTTTAGAAGAAAAAACCTAAGAATATGAAGTTCACTCAGACTTCACCACAACCAAGGCATTATAGAGCCAATTTTTGACCTTGTCCACCATGTCGTTTAAGCACAGCATAGTTTCTCTGTTTTAAACGTACTTGCTTGCACTCACTGAGATAGATGAGAATCATTTTCCTTCCGTCACCTCATAGTTCTTTAGTTTCACTATATATCTTTTTCTACTTATGTCATCATTACTTTGTTGAAACACTTTAAAAAATTCGACCTCTTTAATATGACTTATTTATAGCCCGAATGAATACCATTCTATTCATATAAAATGATTAATGCTCAAGGAACGTGATACATGCATGACAAGAATCAAATAAACAAAAACTAGGATATTAAAGCATTTTCTAAGCCTGAATTGAATTCAAAGCCACGTTAGTTATAGAGTCACAAAATGAAGACAGAAACGAAATATTTATTTGCATTTATGTCATCTACGCCGATTTATATTTTGGATCATAGCTGGAATGTCCTTTCCATATAGTTAACATTCAACTAAAAACATACATTTTATTTTCTAAATATATATATATATATATATATATATATATATACGTAATATATATCATGGATATGTTGAATTCTTTATTCAATAAATCGAGCGAGGAAACAGTTTCGATAGTCAATTTAGTTTTAATTATTGAAATGCCATTTCTCATAATTTATTAGTCAGCCGCTTTTATCCTGCAATTCCTGGAACAAAGGAGTCTTTGGTGTCGATTTTCTAGTCCGCTACAGCTTTGAGCACATAAATCGTATTTGTCTTTGTCGAATGCTTGCACATTTACAAAAACTATTCGATATCAATTAAAAAATAGATTTATATTAATTACGTTAAAAATAAAACATGAAACTTACACGCAATAGTAAACAACAGAGCCGCCAATAGAATGTAAAACGGTGCTCGCATTCTCGTACGGTTCTAACAGTTGATAAAGCAAATCTGTAATTAAAGAAAAGTTTGATATTTATGCTATGAAATGATCCTTTTATCGGCTTGCTTTATTCTTCCTAAATTCAAGAAAAAAATCTACTTTCTCTACATCAAAATGCTAATGTTGTTTTTTTATGGTGCCCATTAAAATACTAATCGCTTGTAAATAATGTGATTGAATCGAATATTTTATAATATGAAAGCGATTATATATTCATCCAATAGCGATAAGAACTATTTAACTAGTACATAATTGATTTCTTTTTCTTTTCTTATATCTCAATAGTTCGATGATTTCTAATACTATGTATACACTATTTCAAACAGTGTGGTCTCTCGTATATATGCAGAATATTTTGGATCGATTCATTGATCTGCCGAAATTTTATTGATAAAATAGTCTCAATGTGGTTCCCTTTATTCATTCCTTCAAAAGTATCGAACTGTCATATAGTTATTGCAGAAGAAACTTTTCTTCCGTTGCATATCATTGAAAAGAACAAATCGTACGCTACATGATGACGAGATTTAACTCTGACTTACATTCAGATGTGGATTTCGAAAAAGCAGTTTTTTGGAATCTGTTCAGAGAATTTTTAATCTACGAAACGAAAGCATAAATGAATTCTATACATGATTTGTTTGGCGTTTATTTATGCACAAAGATTGGCCAACTCAGTTTCACAACGTGGAACATTTATAAAAATACAATTTCTTATTTAGGTTTTTTTGCACTTTCTAATATCATATGAAACGTTGAAATCAACTGAATATTCTCGAAGAAAAATCATCGTCTATTGCTATGCAGATTGAAAATCTTCTGGAGAGATCCAAACACTTTTTTTTCGAATCTACATCTGAAGATAAGTTAGAATAAAATCTCGTCACTGTTTAGGGCACAATTTACTCTTTTCAATGACGTGCAACGAAAGGAAGCTTTTTTTGTAAAATAACTGCGTGGTAGTGAACAAACATAGATAGTTTGGTATTTTTGAAAGAACGCAAATGGAGATTACGCTGAGATTATTTTGTCAGTAAAATTTCAATAGATCAATGAATCGATCACAAATACTCTGCATATATATGAGAGAATCTATTGTTCGAAAGAATACATAACAATTATTCAAATTCATTGAATTAATGAGATGTAAGCGTAGAAGAAGGAATCGATTATGTACTGGTCGAATAGTTCTCATTGCCAGTGTTTGTCATGAGTATAATATTTGCCTAATCGAATTTTCAACACTGAATCGAACGCAAACCTTAAGCATCTGTGTATATGCTTGATTTCACTTAATTATTCATTTCTGTCCATTATCGTGAAAATTATGAAAGATCGGACCAGCTCAAATATTAAGCTTGATTCAGTGTCTTTTTTTCTATAAACGATCGTGCATGATGTCTTCAAGTATATACTAGACGATCGTAAACTTACAATTTGCCGATAAATATACGTCCAATGATGAATAAGATTGTTGTACTGAATATATCCATGATTTATCTTTGCTATCGTAATAAAGAAAAACTGTAAAAATGAAATAGAATGTTGGATGGACATATTTTAAGAATCTTGCATATGATTTACTATCAAAAGACAAAGAGAGACTAAGTCGGATTGACATACTTTTATGATGGGTGCTTATGAACAACGAGCTTGATTCAGTCGGTCAACTAGTAGCTATAAACTAGTTTTTTTTAAAAGAAACTGGCTTTTTTCCAGTGATATTGAGTTTAATCCAGCGATGGATAGAGAACAACTTTTTTTGTCTCATCCTTCGTCTTTTGCTTGCATGAGTTGTCTCTGTGGCTAAATATAACACTAAAACGACAGAATCGTTGTGTCCTGTACTCAGCTTTTGTACAATCGATCATCGTACAAATTTCATTATGTTTGGAAACTCTTAATTGGCTCTAATAATGACTCCGATTTTTCAAATGGAAGGATAAATATATGGAAAAGATGAAAGATTAAGGAAAATACGATTGTTTCATTCAAGTTAAGTAAATATTAAATAAACTTTAATTTTGATTAATCGAATATCATATCGCTTTCTTCTCGTTTAATTATAGTTGTACTACCATAAATAATTCTTCGTAACAGTAACTTAATACTGAATGATGATTTCGATATAACTCATATGTAAATCTATCATTTTAACTACAAGTTATCCTTATATCTCTTTTCATTCATTTCTAATTCAATATATACTTGTACTAAGAAAATATTCTGCAAGTTTACACAAAAATGACTGTTGAAATTTCATAAGTTGCATAAAATGAATTTTGATTAAAACTTTAAGAAAAAAATTAGGAATTTGCTTATGATGTGTTCGGAGATGAGTTTCCAAGTAGCACAATGTACTTCAATGGAAAGTCATTCAATATACGAATATTTGTTCGCTTTCTGACACTAATTCGCAAAAAGTACACGCTGAACACTACACCTAATTACTCAAGCTACTTTATGATACTTCAAGTTGAGCATAATGATAAAAAAAAAGTCTATTTCAGTAACTAGAAAATCGATTTAATTTTCTGAAAATGAATAGAAAGCATGACATCCAAGTTAGCAAAGAGTCTAACGTATTTCGTTGACTAAAATATAGAAATAAAGATCCCAGATTTTTTTTATGTAGTCAAAACCTTGCAAGGTTTCTTTGAAAAAGCGTAAAACTTGCCAAAGACAAAGACACTTCATATGTGTTAAATCTGAAACTTGATTTTAATTATCGAATATCTTACATCTAAAATTCAGATATTCAACTATTACCGGAAACGCATAGGCACAGTACTTCTATCAGAATATGTTTTTCTACTCTCTTATTCATACCGGCATTCAAATCCAATAGCTTACATAGCCCGTAGATGTCTTTATATGCGTATGTGTCTTTGAGTTGACTTCTGAAATTCTGTTGCCTTTAAAACTTAACTTCGACATACATATACGAACTTCACAAAGACACTAATTTCAAAAACTGGAATGTTCTAAATGTGGCGCTTTATGTTGGGGCGACAATCTATACTAAATATGACCTTTTACATAAATTATTCACAATTGTGAAACTAAACAGTGTCTAACAAATATAGAGCTTTTCAGAAATTTCGAATGGATTATTTATATAAGTCCACAGTACTAGTAGTGGCTTATCAGATCAATACAAATGGCCAGTCAATAGATATTACGATAGAAATCAGAAATTTATTCTATTTGAATTTCACTATCATTATGATTATATCTTTCTCATAGGCTAATGCTATTTACATGATCATTTATAAGCGATATGCTATTTTTTTTGTTGATATATATAATTATTTATTATATTGTGCAAATTTGGCTGTTTGATGTTAATTAGTACTTGTGCTATGTGTTATGACTTGCATCTCCTTCGGATGTACTCATAAGAATTTTTCCTATTTATCTATAAGATTATACGTGTGTACTTCTGTTCTTCTTCTTTTCTCATGTCGTGAGTCATATGCTATGGACTTTTCTTTCCTGTCATATATAGTGGATTTTTCCTTTCTTTGTTTGTCGTCTATGGAATTTTCCAGCTTTTGTTATCACTCTATATATAGCATTTCGTTATTACAAAAGCATGGGTACATTGAAGATAGATATAATTATAGAAATAAATTGCAATCGGGATTAAGATCTCACACTGTATAATGCTCTGAAAATTCTATGCTCGACTATGTTTTCACAAGATAAATAGAATAATTTCGTGTTTTTTTTTTCTATTCTATATTTTATTTCTCTTTGCTTGATTTTTTTTTATTAAATTTTCACTACACTTATTGAATTGAACTCTTTTGATATGGATGTTTTCTAACAAATAATAAAAATTTAATTATTTCAAAAGAGCTGAATATATTCTTCACATAAGAACATTTTTCAATATTATTCTCTAGCGTAACTTACATCACAAAGCTCAACATGAGAACAAGAGAGATTACTCTCTCATAGACGGAACTGAAGATAATGTCATTGAAAAAAGCTCAATACGTCTATATACATACATGAAATGCGTCACGAATACATTAAAAAATCGAAACTGTCACTTATGCTAATAGAAAACTTTTCTTCTCTATGAGAATTCAAGTTGAGTCAATTATAAGTGCAATGGCTCGTGAAAATATTTTCTGATGGGCCAGCGTGGTCTATTCAAAATCCAGACACGTTACTGTAACAAATGAAATAAAATATATTATTTATTAAAATAATGTTTGAATTGTTAAAAGAATATAGTTTTAAATGAACATAAAAGTTTTTTTTTTTCATTGATTTCATAAAATATGCGATAATATTTTTCGTGGCTATGTATAATTAAGTGGGTTTAAATCTTGATTGTTATTTTTTCTAGATTCGATTGAATGTTAGAATGAAGAAAATAAATTAATAACATATTCTTAAGATTTGTTGTCTTCTTCTTGCAGTTTCTGCAATTCATTGTAAACTATTTCGTCAAAATAAAGTTTTAAAGAAGACAAATTTATTTTATGTATCATTAATTTCTCTAGAAACTGTTTCATAGCTTCTGTACGAGATCGTATTGTACACCTGGGCCCATTTCTCATATACTTTTCACGTATGCAATTCTCGTGATCGACAAAGTCGAGACGAATCTGATCTTTTACAGGATCACATTTCAAACTGTTTGTTGCAACAGCAAAATCTAATTGATCCCATTCTTTTTCTGTATCACGATAGCAGAGCCATTGGAATGATCCATTAGTTGTTTCTTCTATGATGTTCATCTTGGTCAAACTTATTGGTTCGAGTTCTTTGATAAATTTTACATTTTGAACGTTAGTATCGGTCAACATAATAGTATGGCAATATTCATCATCATATTTACGTGTTCCAAGAATATATGTTTTATACTTAAGAAAATAATTAAATGGAATACAGAAACGATAGCATCCATAGCATGAGTTTTTGCAATCAAGTGATGGAGATAAAGGTTGAGAATCATGTGAACTTTGTTCAGGTGGCAGAGGTGCAAACCAAATCATATTCGGTCCATGATATGCATGATTTGGATCTCCTTTAAATTCAGCTACCATATTTTGTTGCATAGTTGTAAGTAGATTCATTTGCGAAACTGTTTCATTTCTTGTTAAATTCATAATTAAAATAAGATCATCAATATTGTGAACGACATGTTGAAGATTTTTCAATGGAATGTACTTCGGCATCCGATTGGTAGGAAACACAAACGTATGATGTATAAATTCATACTTTTTCAAAGGAGGCCATCGAGGACATATAAATAAGTAGTTAGGATTAGTACAAAAATGAGCTCCATTAATTTGTCGATGTACACGTTCAAAGCCAACTCGACTTAAAATATCATAAAGAATTGTAAAAGTTTTTTCCGTTTTTGTTTGATCATAATTATTTTTCGAAGGTATACTGCGTTGTTCTAGAGGATGAAGAAATGTATAATCAGGACAAAGAATTGCATTAATTGTAATTGCCAAATGACTAACAAGTTCATCAGATGGTATAACGTTAAATTGAAGCAATTGTTCAAGTGCTTTAAACAACTGGAACGAACATTGTTCGGCCATATCGACGTTGCTCCATGTTCCTTGACTGAATTTGGCCAGAACTCGATAGAATTTCAGTTCTGCAGCTTCAGCACCTGATTGTACGGTACACATATCTATACTTTCTATAATTGTAACAGTTAGACGTCAATGTATAAGAGAAAATCTTCATCCATATTCACACCCACATCTTACATGCACAAAATACTAATCGGCAACTGATTTACATCGCCAAAAAAAGCAATTACTTTCACTAATATCTTTCAAGAAGACTGTAGATTTCACTGCTTCGCAAGTCATATACGATCACTGTTGCAATAAAAAAAAGTAACTCCGTTGCTAACACCTAAATATGAATTACACATATATAAATTTCTTTATATGTTGGAATTTGAATGCAAGATATCAGTCTATAAGTGTTTTTAGGATACGATTTGAGTTATGGTAAATCTAATTATACTGTTCTATAGAATTCGTGAGGTTATACTTGGAACATGAACAGGTTCCTAAACGAATATGGACAACTTTTAGTCGAATCTGATGTTATAACTTCATCTACTTCGAATCTAGAAAAATATAGAAAATCAGATTTGTTTTTTTTTTGATTGATTCCGAAGATCTAACAATCCTATATATAAGTAACATAGTTTTAATTATGTTGAAAACCTTCTTAATTAATTTTTATTTTGCACAGTCAAATATCGCGTCTTTGTCTCGAATTATGTTATATCAAGCTGTTCTCGATAACATTTTATCACTACTATATTTTCAATTTAATCTTTTACAAATATTTTATTAATAGATCTATTGAGTTATAAATAGCGTTCTTCTTTTCTTACTTTTGTACATTGTTTGTTTTTCTATCCGTAAGTTTGTTTCTTTTTTACCAACACAAAGTAAAAAACAATAGCAGAACTAAATAACTATCAGAGAAATAACAAGTCAGTAAATATTTATAAGACAGTAAGAATAGGAAAAATCCATAATATATATGACAGAAAAGGAGAATCCATAATGAAAAATGATACACATATTGGATAGATTTGTACAGAAAATTGGAAAAATTAAATATATGCAGTATGTTTCCATATTGAGAAAAAGAAAACTATCATATTCAGAAAAGCTCAGATACGAAGCATGAATATATCCAATACTTGTAAATGCTCTAGCATTGACTACCTAAACATTTTTTCCAACTACAAGTTATGTTCTTATATAAGGAGCAATGTTTTGTAAAATGTAGATTTTGACAGAAAAGTTTTATCATCGGGATAAAGTGTTATGGCACATACGTAAGACGTGCCATAAGAAGAATGTTTTATAGAAGTCATTGTACGAGAGTCACGATCTACCTTGCTCAACGATTTTTACCAATTTTGATTCTGATTACAGCAATAAAGAGTATTACTAAACTTATGTATATATTTGGGTTTCTAATGTTCGACATCTTTCCATTGCTGAGAAATAGAGATTTCATTTCTATAACATCCAACGTTAGCAGGTAATGTGCATATTATTTTTCATAATAATTATTTTGAAAAATAATATGGCACAGTGACTGCTAGCATTGGATGATAGAAATGAAATCTCTATCTCTCAACAGTGGAAAGATTTTGAACATTAAAAATCCTAACATATACACAAGTTTAGTAGTACTATCTATTGCTGTAATCAAAGCCAAATTTGATTAAAACTGTTGAGCAAGGTAGGTCGTGACTCTGGTACAATGACTCATATGGAATTATCCATATATGCCCAGTCTCTTTCCTTCTATGCATATATATGTTGCTAACTATAGCTATATCTTTTCTTTCGTTCTGTCAAGTATCTTCCCTATTATATCCTCTTGGTTTTTTTCTTTACTTTCTTTCGTATTTTCATGTAATAACTTAGGTATTTTCCAACCGTATTATCTTATCTATTAGTATTTTTTCAGCTTCTCCTAACAGCTGATATATGTATAATTGTTGTTGCTATGCAAGGATGAAATAACTTGATTTCATCTAAGCCAACTAATAAAAGTACAACTGATCGATCTGATTCAAAAATTCGTAAATATACCCTATATACGCAACAACATATATCGGATCCAACATAAAACTTGTCAAAAAATAAATTGTAATTGAATATTCAAAATTAATAGTTAATAATTATAAATACTTTACAACAGTGTCGAAAATAAGATTGTGTTTGAAGGAATATTTCATTGAGTGAGACACTAGTCTTTCTCTTCACATGACCTATAAACAATTAAAGATTTTTAAACAAAAATATTCCATATGCTTGACTGATTTAGAGCACAATAATTTATCGATCAGTTTTCTTATTGTCTTAGCTTAGATTATTTGAAGCAATAGTTAATTCTTGTAATTTATAACATAAGAAGAAACAAAATCGAAGAAATTTTCATTGATTTTAAATGCATCTATTTTACTATCTTTTGAAATAAACAATAAAAATCACTGAAAAATATTTCATTGAATCAATCTTCTTGTGAAATATGAATGTTGAAATATATGAGTAGAAATTTGGATCCCTATCTCATCCTATAGGTCCGTGACAGATATAACCTCGAGATCAAAGTCTACTGCAAGATCAACAGTTTCATCATGTTTCATATTTTAAACCGGCAGAGATTGTCCGAACAGCTTTTTCATTAGAAATATTCTTTTGCACAACAAAAACTAATATTTATTAAATAAATTTGAATAAAGAAGATAAACGAAACAACAACAACAAAAAAGAGAAGTTTATTCATATAAATGTTTTTTAGAAAAAAAATGTACTGAAATTATTTTTTTTGATTATTTAAATATTGTTTGATTTTTTCAAAATCAAAATATGTTTGTAAATCATTATTAAATTTTTTCATTGGTTCAATAGATGATAAATGCATTTCATCTAGTATATCAGCTTCATTTAATAATTCAAAACGTAATGATGATACATCATTTTTAAGTTCTTTAATTACAATACCATCATTTGCTTCATTATCGCTAATATGTTTATTTTTATAATAGAGTAAAAAACGTCTAACAATACGTTCAATTACTATTTTATATGTTAATGTTTCATGTACAACATAACTACGTTGACGATCAAAGATTCTTTCATGTTTAAATCTATCATATTGTATACTTCTATTATTTGTATCATTATTATCATTATTACGACGTCCAATATTAAGATCATCTAATTGATCATCTCTATTTCCATTTGATCGTTCATTATTATTTGTTGATGAACTATTAGACAAAATCATATGTTTTATTCGTTTTAATAGATAAATAAAAGATTTTGGCGTTGGACAAATATTCATTGGAACGGGTAAAGTATTTCCTAAATGAAAAAAAAAACAATAAGTCTGGTAAAAACAGATTCTATTTTGAATTTCACAAGAAAAACTTATAATTAGAACTGTAAGCTGATGAATTTAATCAACGGTTGTTAGAAAAAAAAGAAAAAAAGAAAACTTTTTTTGTTTTTTACCATCTCGTATATATTCCATATAAAGTCTTGATCGAGCAAATTTCCATTCAACATCAGCTCGATCATCAATTGTATCAATAGTTTCTTCCATCATAGCAATTAAAGTATTAACAAGAACAGTTACAGAAATAAATGTAAAAAGACCATAAATAACAAAACCAAGATTTGATGAAAATAAATCAAAACCTAATGCATAACGTTGTGGATCAGGTTTTTTACATGTTAATGAAACAAGTTCATATCCTCGATCCTTAAAAATTATTAAAAAAATTATATTAATTAAGAATTTTTTATTCAATACATACTGGTAAATCATCTTCAGCAATAACTCCAAATAAAGTAAAAAATGTTGTTAATAGTGTTGATCCAAATCTATCACCGAAATAATAAATAGCTGGATATGCTCCAATTCTTTTTATTTTATCACAACCATCAGAACATGTACAACTCTCATCCGTATCATTATTTCCATTACGTGATTGATCGGAAGATGTTATATTTGGAATTGTTTGATTTAGAAGCTCATAATATGGTAAACATCGAAAACTTTTTTCTACTGTTAAATTATTAAATTTCATCATATATGGAATTTTTGGTTCTGTATAATTTGATAATTTATATAAACTTTCTTGTTGTTGAAAAGCCATAGCAAAATGAGAAAAAATTAGAAATAATGAACATGCAAATGCAATAAAAAAAATTAAAATGATTACAATCCATTTTGAAATATCAATTATCATACGTTCAAGCATTACCTTAAACAAACGAAAATAATTTTAAAAATTTTTCAAAAATGTTTTCTTTTTTTTTTTTTTTTGAATATTCATATGGTTCGAGACCGGACGAAAATCGCCGGGGTTGTAATCCTCTTCGCCGAAAAGCATTTCATCGAAAGACGCGTAGGACACTTTAGACTGTGCCGAGTCCTTTAATTTTTATATAGGTTTGTTCAGCATGAAGAGGTCAACTCATTTTACCTTCACCTTTGGGGTACCCTCCATGGCCAAAAAGTATTTTCGACGAAGTATGTTTCGGTGAAGAGTATATATACCAATCGAAGTATGTTGCAAGCGAGTACTATGCTTCTTAAGACTCCAACAACAGAAACTAATTCTTAGATATATCCGAAATCTATCAACAATATTTAGTTAACTTATCGATTTCTATTATTTATAACAATTCATTGAAATAATAAATATATGTGTACTTACTTGTAATGGTCCAACAAATCCAATAATTGGTAATAGAAAACAAATTCGACAAATACTAGCAACATTTCCCATAGCAAAAAAAGCTTCAGCTAAATTTTGTGAATCACCACTATTCCAATAATATCGATCAGCATTAAGCCAATAAAGTATATGATATGTTTTAGTAAGAAGATGTTGTTTTTCATCATCCAATGTCTCATTATAACGTTTAATATGATTCCAATAATTTGATGAATGAAATTTATTCATTGATGTACGTGTTAAAAGCATAGTTGAATAGAGAAATATAAAATATAATATATAAAGAATATTCATTAAACAATCAACATAATTACCTAGAAGAATTATATTTTTTTTTTAATACATAAAATTCAAAAGATTATTATTATTTGTTAAACTTACTATGTGATGTTAAATAAACACGTATACCTGAACCAAATATTTGCTTTATTTCTTGCCAAACAAAACCAATAACCCAAATAAAAATAGCTATTTGAAATGGATTTGGTGCCATAAAACGAAGACTAATATTACATTTGATCAGAGAATCCATTCTATTATTATTATTACCATATTTATCTTCATTTAGACTAATTAAATCAGATCTTAATTCAGTATTTTCATAAATATGTTGAATATATAATTTATAAATAGTTGAATTATAATCCGAAAGATATTTTGTTTTTTGTAAATGTGATATAGAAAAATAGCTCGATGCTACAATAAGACTAATAAATGCAAGATAAGAAACAATATATGCTTTTAATTTTAAATTTGGTTGATGACACTTAAAAGAAAAAAAGATAATATTAAATATTTGATTAATATAATACATACTAATGAACCAATTTTTGATTTAGGAAAAATATAATATGTTAATAATAAAATTGGTAAACAAATAATAAAAGCAAGATAAAATAATACACGTTTTGTAAGATGTGCATTTTTAATTGCTGATAAATTTTCATACCATTTTTCCATTAATTTTTGTTGACAATTTGAATGTGATACAAATGCTTTTTCTTGATAAAGTATAGCTAAATCAAATCGAGCTAAATTTTCATATTTTTCTTCATTTGGTCGACCTGTTTTATTTAAAACAATTTCAAGTTCTTCATGTCCTCGAACATTATCAAGTAAACGTGTAACAAATATTGATAATTGATTAGCTAATTTTTTATAATCTTCACGAAAATAATGTTCAACTTTAGCAAGTGTACGTAATTCATGACTTAATTCAAAAGCTTGTAAAATTGGATCAGGATATGTTAGAGCAATATAAACTTCAGATGAAAGACCTTTATATGCAGATAAACGAACTTGTGCTTGACGAAATGAATCATAAGCAGAACTATCAGCACAATCAATACATGGACACATACTTGCATGTGGTTTTTTAATACGTTCACCTTTGAATAATAATTGATGAACGGTTTGTAAACGATTATATTGAGCAGCAAGAATAAGTGGAGCTAAGAAACAAAATTAGATTTGATAAGATATTCCTTTTTTATTGGTTCTAGTCGAAGTACTGAATTCAAGATACTCGTATACTAATGAGAGAACTACTGAAACTAATATTCGTTGTTTCAACTCATAAGGAGGTCACGGTATGACTGGAAAAATTCTAAGAGGGTTTCTACGTATGGATGTGTGGAGCAAGGTTATAACCATTTTATTGAATTGTTGTTGCATCTAGCTTTAAGTATTTACCGAAAATTCAACCTGAAATTTTCAGCTAAAACGAATGTTTCTTCATCAAGATATTGAATTTTCAAGTAAAATTGATTTTTGTGACAGACGAACATTCTTTTCGGCTGAAACTTTCAGGATATTCACCGAATCATCAGATCTATCTATAGACAAAATTTCAGGTTGAATTTTCGGTAAATACTTAACATTAAACCGAAAATTCAATATGCCAGTCCTAACTCGACTCCAGAGATCCATTGGTACGATTTCTCTTAGCATTTTTCTAGTTTTACCGCAACCTTCTTATGAACTCAATATAATCTCAAACGATGAGTATCAGTTTGCATAGTTTTCTCGTGAATTAGTGACATACTGGTGTCAAGGTACTTTGAATTTAGTATATTCACTCAAGTATGTAATAAAGCTCGTATTGAAAAAAACTTACTTATATCAGAACTGAATTGTGAATCATCATAAGCTTGTGGATGTGTTGGATCAAGAAAACCACCACTAAATGTTCGATAAGTTGGATGATTCATAATAAAATCAGCTATATTTGTATGACCCAAATAAATTGCTAAAAGAAGTGCATCACGAAATTTTTCATAAGGAATTTTATCAAGTAAAACTTTGACAACTTCAAAATGTTCATTTTCAATAGCTAATTGAAGTGCACTTTTACCCATTTTATTTGATACATCAGCTTCAACTTCATTATCTACTAAAAGTCGATGTACAAGCATATAATCACCATGTGCACAAGCAAATAGAAATAAATCAGTTGTATCTTCAAATGTTTTATTATAATATGTACGACTAGTAGAAGAAGATACAGATTCTCGATGCGAAGGATAACGATGAGCCATATGAAGTTTTTTTTGTTTCAATCTCTGAAAAGTAGATCACAATAGAAATATTATTTGAAAATACTTATCAATTTCTACTTTTGCTTATTTTCCATGTCTTTCGTATATACTACAGTAAAACCTACTTAATTCAGCATACATATATCCAATATCTTGAGAACGAGAATGAATAAACGGTAAAATATTAGTCAACTTTTTTTTCGTAATTATGAAGGTATGAGCATACTGATCTGTGGACAAAAGATAATGAGTTAACACTGAAGCATTATATCTATCATGCATTTGAGAAATGAAAATTTAAGGAAAAAAAAATCTTTTTCTGTCGAATCTTCAACTAGAGGAGGGAGGAAGAGGCTAAATGAATGTATTTAGAAGCTTATTACTTCCAAAACAAAGAATTGAATCTGCACTACTCATGATCTCCTAGTACTATCAAATAAACTGATGATAAAGAAAGAGCTATACTGCATAAAAAGACTATAAAAAAATAGAGAAACAGATGGTGTTTTGTTAGTTTTTATTGCATCTCATATTTTATTTTTGCCAACAATCTGCTCAACAATTATTTCTTTTTTCTTCTTTGGCGGAAAAAAATCCATGTACTTTCTTTGTCCTTGATAGAAATAAAAATCTTCGCTGCACATAAGTGTTCTTTTTATCTTACCAATTTAATCAAGTTTGTGAAAGAAATTCACTTTGTAGCAAAAAAGAACCTATTGCTTCATCAAATAAATATTTTTCATCTGTCAAATAATTTCTCTCTTATCGAAACAAAACAGATCAATATAATAACCAGAAGCATTTTAATTTCTTTGGAACTACTATTAGAGCTTTACGTTTTTTTTTCTTTTCTTCGATTATCGGTATTTTTTTTTCTTTCTCTTACATAGAACCAACCTACGTTGTTTGAACGCGTGCTTTCATGCTAAAAAAAGATAGCAACAAAATTATGTAGGAAATAGTTGAGATCAAATATATAGCATGCTTTTATACACTACTGATGATGATAAAGGAAAAAAAAAGTGCCATGACAGGTCATTAATCTTTCTCTCTTTTACTTTTTTTTTGTTTTTTATTAACATGATTTACTCTTAATAATGTTCATTATATTCAAACACAACTGTTGACATAGGTTGATCCGGTATTCAATGAACTTGTATTGTAAATTGACTTTTCTTTCGAGGTACGATGTGAAGCAATATGTCAATAAATGCAGAAATGATTTTGTTTTTCAAATAAAATCAAAATAATAATAGATACAAATGATTAATCAATAGTTTTACTTATCGAAATAAAATAAGAAGAGGCAAGTGAGCATTTTCACTAAAAAGAATGAATATACTTAGATATAAAATTCAGAATTTTGTGTTTGTTCAAGAAAGAAAAAGATCTTTCTAATTTTTTTTCCATTAATAAATATTTATTTGTTGATTTCAAGTCGATAATTCCGCATTCAGGAAGCAAATAGATTTTGTCGAAGCCTTCGCAGAGGAAAAACTCCAACGATCGATAGAACTTGCACAGTGTTCCGTGTTAGAAAGAATTCTCTCAACTTTGGTCGAAAGTAAAAATGTCGACAATTGAACTTGAGACTTCTGAATATTTTCTCATTTAGAAAATTAGAAAACCAAATAGCTGAAGTCAAAATCAAATGTTTATCAATTATACTGAAAAAAAAACTGAATGACAAGCTAAATACTTTGAAACATCAGTTTATCAACTTGAAATAATTTTCTTATTGTACAATCATCATTGTTTTTTCATGCTACGATTAAAGACAAACCGTTGAGCAGATCAGATACTGTAATGCAATAATAATAATATCGATTATACATGTTTATTCAACTTTCTAATACTGGTTTTTTTTGCTTCGATGCGGTTCTCGACATAGATTTAGATGAAGAGTACATCGGAATCCATAATCGTTATCCCCAACAACACTCATCAATAGCTGTCCACACATTTACCCACATCCACCTACATCCGCTCACGTCCATATTTTGCACTTTCGATGTTTTTTAGAATTCTACCAAAGGTAAATTTGCTGTCGGAAAGTGTCTGGTGACTTTCGACTGTTCCCTGCAGAAAACACAATAGAAGTTGACAGGAAATCACTCGAAAAATTCGAAGACTTTTTAACCGCAAGTACTGTGCCGAACATCCATCGGTTTCTAGTGGCTTTGTGCGGGAATCAGCCTGTTAACTTTTACTTCGAACGAATTACTAGAAAACAGATGAAAAAACCCCAAATAAAAATAGTACGAATTGGTATTACATGATGCATTTTCCATGATACAGTTTGTTGAAATCTTTTGATTTCACTATATTAGTAATATATTCTCATATGAAATGAACTTGAATAGTTGGAATGACAAGTGAAATAATATGTAATATAAATAGACCTGCTGATAACGGACGTAAAGTTTCTAGGTAGCATTTTTGTTGAATGACTTTGCTTCAAGGAGGAAACAGTTGGTTTTATGACCTTTCTCACTTTGGTGATTAATTTGACTTTATGATGACTTAAGTGATTGCCAAAACTATCAAAACCACATAGATTATTTTAAACGTTAAATATATAATCAGAGCATTATACACAAGTCGAATATTCCACATGTTTGAACAACAAAAAAAGCTTATTAAGAACATTCTTAGTCGCGCTGAAGTGTTCGATGCTATCTTGAAAGAGATTCGAAGTAACATTAAATTAAGCGAAAATCACAGCTTTTTAATGCAATTTAACATCAAGTAAAGAAAGACCATATAGAAGCAAACAAATTAGAAAACGAAATAGTCAATAAAAAAAATTATTTTCAAATTGTAATTTATCTGATAATTCTTCATAGCCGATAAGATGCTGCGATGTTGTTTTATTTGTTAGCAGCCAACGAACTTTCTACTTGTGCATGAACTTTTGTTTTCCAGTGATTTTCATATTCAAATACGAAGACATAGTTATAGATGCCATTGAATTAAATATACGTATACGGTGAAAATTGATGCCTGTTGCAATGTTGAGTTGATAAGTACTAGAATCATATTCCTCATTCGTTTCTTGATCATCTTTATTGATTGTGTCCTTAAGGCTCGAGTTATCATGTTTAGTCTGAGAATCAGAAGATGTGCCTTTCAGAATAGCTTCATCAATTGTATTCAAAAGTAGATCTTTATTAAATTCTTTCAAAAATAAAACTTTTCAAATCATTTAATGAAGCAATATTTTTTCCCGTCAATGCATCATCCACAGCAAGGCTAGAGAGTAGTCTAAAGACGTTATCAAAAACTCAAGAGACAAATTATTTCCAAAAACCATATTGCCGAATTAATTGCAGATGCTAGCGACTTCGCAGCTTTTTTGTAATGTTTGAAAAAAAGAAGAGGTGCCAAATCAATGATAGTGTGATTAATCATACTCTCGCTCTTGAGAACGTGTAGCATTGAGAGCTTTGTAGTACGATTGAGAAATTACATCACTGAAAAATTAACAATAGAGGAAAACGCGCCTGACATAGCTCTTGCAAATCGAAAAGTGCTTTCGCGTGTTTGGGAACTTAACATTGAGAAGCTGTTTCAACATTTGAGCAGCAGACAATAGTTTTATTATGGTCGTATTTCATCTTGATAGTTAACGAAGTCTACCACATGCGGCACATGAAAACAGAAAATCTTGGGTGATAAAGCCAAACAGGAATGCTCATGTTTCTATCAATATATTCGATAATGACGGAACGACTAAGTCTTAGATAAAAGTGAGTAGTCATAGACTTCAAGATTTCTTCTAGCTTTGATTATACATCGTCACTAGAGAGAATCTGTCATATAATGCAAAGTTCTATCTATGACTAAGATGAATTTTCAACTTGATTAAACAGTGCTTGAGTTTATTAATATTGGCCGAAATACACTCGCAACTAATTATCATAGTAGCAACGCCCAATAGTAAGGGATTTCCTAATCTTGTACATAAATTAATTGGATTTTGAAATCAAAGTATCAATTATCGACAACGAAGAAAAAACCATGTTTAGCTTGCTGGTACAGTTACTTCGAAAGCATAAACTCGATCGCTCAATGACATGATAGGAAGCAAAACAAAAACGTCCAACACAAGTCTCATGGCTCTTACATACTTAGAATCACCATCTGTTGAGAATCCTATTATCCGTATATATTTTCATAGATACTGCTCGAAAATCCATATCTATCACCATATAACGTCAAGTGATCTGTGGATGTGCGGTTGTGAGTACGTTATCAGTAGTGACAGTCATCTGGAAAGAGGAATTCGTTGTTGTAGTAGAAGCAGTAATGATGAATCAAGAGATATGTGAAATTTTAGAGGGTTCGCCATGAATGTTCTTTGCCACTCCACCCAGTTTCTTAGTAAAAAGATCAAGACAATATTTAATCGAGCACTGTTTATCTGGTTTAACAATCTATGAATCATTGTTAAGAATAAAATACGTTTGTTTTTTTAATATTATTGATGTCCTTAGTATCAAGAGCAAAAACATCAAAGACATTGGATATACGTAGAGATAAATTAACAGTTCGAATACTCTGAATCTTGAGCAATGCAGCTTCATCAGAATCGGGCAGATGACATACAATGATTGTCAAGAGTGTTGTGTCAACAAATATTTTTTTGTAAAATTACTGATGAGAAAATAATATAAATGTAGAAAGACGAGATGATATGTGTATATACGTATATAAAACGAATAACAAACTATCGTAAGATGCAAGAAAGGTAAAATTGATCAGTACGTATCGTATAGACAACAATATGGTTTTTTTGCTCTCTTTCGTCTGATATGTGCCATATACAAAAGAAATATATAAAGAAAACACTATGAGTGCTTTCTACTTACATTAAATATATCTTTTCAGATTTAAAAGAAACAAATAAAAGAAATTTCCAGCTACTTGTTACTACTTGTCTAAATAAAGAAAGCACGTCTACAATGTCTTTTGATTGCTTCATTCACATCTCTATTGAG